ATTCCTGCCCTACTGATTACAGCACTTTGGAGTAATTTTCCTTTCAGATTCTGCTGAACTGCAGCAAGGCTGCAACACTGGGAGAAAAAGCCTCTGTTTTTAAAGTGTTTCACTTCAATCAAATTAGCCTAGATGAGAACACTCCTATTTATTTTTTGCTTTTCATCTTTCTTTTTATAAAACTCAACCTTAGCCGGACAGTATTTTCTTTCATCAGGAAGGAGTCAACCACACCAATTTTATGCTGCCTTAAAGCAAGAAGCTCAACCAGCACGTTCTCAATTGAACATGTCAAGCTTTCGAAGTGATTTGTAGCACTCAAATCTTTTGCCCTCTCTCCCATCTCCTAATTCAATGTACACAGCTAGAGGAGGCTGTTAATAAGTGTCATGGGACATGAGGTGAGCAGCAAACAAAAACAGAGAAAAAAAAACACACAAAAAAAAGGCAGCAAAAGTAGCAAACTAGAATAAAAATTTCAGTCAGCAAATGAGTCAAGTTTGTCTTGATGCAACCTACACATCTGTATCTGTTTGGGCTTTATTGTTTTCTTTGTCCACATAGAATATTTGCACATGTTTCTGTGTGCTCCCAATAAATCCTAATAGAGAATCAAATTAACTCTGTTCAGATCCATCTAGGGAAAAGATAGATGCAGGAATTCTATTCTAGCAGGTCTTGTATTTAGGGTTAATTAGAAATATTAATTTCTGTGTGGAGAAAAGCACACCAAGAGCCACCCCAAAACTTACATCTCTGTCCAGGACTCGGCCAGTGCTGTTGAGGTACAATCTTTGCCTGATGGGATCAAGGATCACCCAGTAATCCACGTTGTCCTTCAAGGAGAGCTCAATGGTGGGGTCAGGCCCTCCTGCTGTGCCTTTGATCAGCATGTTGTCAACCAGGATAGTGCCTGCAACGACAATAAACACACCAGGCAGTGACTTATAAGGGCATATAGATTTTAATGTATTTTCCTAACAGCAGCAACACTAAAAATACTGTTTCTGACTCAGGTTTCCTGTATTTTATGTTTTGAGTGATGTTTAAAAAGTCTGAACCTTATTATCTGTGATGAAAAACTGCCTCTGACACTGAAGCTGTTGCAGACAGTGCCAGAAGCAGCATTTGCACTGCAGAATGATTTAAGGTGCTGATGAGACACAGAGCTATCTACTTAATGTGATGAGCTTTTCTCCACTGAACAATCATCACCCAATCTCACCTCAAACAAATGAAAGCACTGAAATAACAACCAAAACCAGAACACATTTGCTAAAGCATGAGTGACACATCAAGGTGATGAGGGGAAATAGAACACAGTTACAGAAAGCTGTCCAGGAAAAAAGGTTTATACCGTGAGTTACTCTGCAGCAAAAAAAAACCTGAATTGCAGCACAGAAATGAGAAAATACATCTACCAAGACAAAGGTAGTCCAGACTGAGGAGCAGCCAGCTAGTCACCACCTCGAACATGCTTTTTTTCCCTCCAAAGAAACTCCCAGAATGGTTTGGGTTGGAACAACCTTAAAGCTCATCTTGTTCCAACCCCTGCTATGGGCAGGGAAAGCTTTCACTAGCCCAGGTTGCTCCAAGCTCCATCCAACCTGGCCTTGGAACACTTCCAGAGATGAGGAAGCCAGTTTCTCTGGGCAATGCTGACACATGAATATAGCCCTGACGTTTTTTATCATCTAAACACATTTATCCTTCCTTCAAGAACAGTCTAAAACTTATTCTGACTTTCCAAGTTGATGGAAAGATAAAACCACCTGCAACAGCATGATTAATCCCTGACATTGACATATTACATTAGCAGGTAATTCACCTGGCCTTGAACACCTCCAGGGATGGAGCAGCTACAGCTTCTCTGGGCAACCTGTGCCAGTGCCTCACCATCCTCACAGAGAGGAATTTCTTCCCAATATGTCATCTATCCCTGCCCTCTAGCAAGGGGAAGCCATTTAAGAGATTCTAGAGAATTTCTTGCATATATCTGTAGCCTAAATTTCCCCTCTGTGAGTTTGAAGCCATTCCCATTTGTCCTGCCACTCCAGTTCCTGATGCAGAGTCCCTCTGCAGCTCCCCTGTAGCCCCTTCAGATCCTGGCAGGTTGCTCTGAGGTCTCCACACAACCTTCTCCAGGCTGAACAGCCCCAACTCTCTCAGCCTGTCCTTGTAGGGACGGTGTACCAGTCTTCTTTTCTTATCAGCCTTGTGGCCTCCTCTGGACTTGCTCCAACAGTTCCATGTCCTTCTTATATTAGGGACACCAGAACTGTACACAGTATTTGAGGTGGAGCTTCATAAGAGACCATCTTGCCCCATCCTGTCAGTTAAGTCTTGCTTTTAGCAGTCAGCTCACAGTCCCCACAATGTACCTCATTTTCTGTGTAAGAAACTCCAACTCACCTCCCAAATGTCAAGCACTCCTCTAGTTAGCATTACTAACTGCCCTGAGCATTGCCCTCCAGTGCCTCAGATTTTCATACACGGCATTTATAAACACCTCTCCATAACTTCATTTTGCTGAGAAATTAACACTCCCCAGTTTGCTTCACACTGAAATATTAAAAGCAATGATCTTTGTGGAAGTTCAGCAGCAGCTAGGAACAAAATCTGTGAATGTCAGTAGGGGCAGAACATTTAAAACATGTTAAAATATTTATCATGTCACCTTCTCTATTAAGGGTCCAAATAATTGATTCCAAAGTGCAGCATAAAGTTTCTTCATAGCTCCACTTTATACCAGTGACTCTGTAAATATATGGATCCAGCAGCAACAGTTCCAAATTGGAACAGAGCTTTTTTGGGATAAAACAGTAAAAATAATCACTCATCTTAACCCCAGAAAACTGGTGGAGGAAAACACTACAGTAAGGTGCTTTTTTCAATCATTTATTTTAAAACTACTTTTTTTTTCCCTTAACACAATAAAGGAAGAAAATTGCCATATATCCATAACTGCACCAAAGATTGGTTTCAAGTTCAAGAAGCAACAGTATTTTAGCAATATGAAAAACAGTGTGTCTACTAATGCCTATGGGCACCATCTCTTCAATAACATCTGTTCAGTTTTACTCTGACCCAATAGCTTGACCTTGCAGCTCCTGGGAGGCTACTTTTAATCTTAAAAGCATTTCACCAGGAAAAACAAGCTCATTACCATCCCTGTGACAGTTCAAATTGTGGATGTCTACTTAACAGTTCCTCTAAAACCTGCCCTCATCACTGGGCCTTAATGATAGCATAAAAAATGGTTGGTAATCCAAGTCTGAGGTCATCTGAGCAAAAGCTTCCTCAGAAAAAAAACCACCCAAGGTAACAAGCACAACCACCACCCGAAGGGCTTCTGTTGATTTGAAGTTTTCCAGGCATTTGGATCAGACTGGGAGAAGGCCTGAGAAGAGAGCTTTGGTTGGGTATAGTACACCACAGGTTGTTGCTCCTTCTCTAAGAAGGTTTTGTCCTACATTTCTCAGTTGCTGGAAGATGGACTTCTGCTCAACTCAGCCTTCTGCAAGGACTAAAGAGGTCAAACAGCTTTAATTTTTAATGAACCCCAGAATAAATGATTCCAATTACACACTTAAAAAGAATATTTAATCAACTTAAAATCTTGATATGATGACAAATTTCACAGTCTCTGGTAAACCACCATTACTTCACTGACCTCACTGCTTTGAATTCCGCATCTCATTCAACTCTGCTGCACTCTAACAGCTCTGCTTGATGTCACAAAGCAATTCTGATTCGTTTGGTTTGCTACAGCAATTCTTCCTTCTTAAAAATAGGCTGGACTTCCTTCAGATATTCATGAGACACTTGTGCTCTCTCTTTGAGAGGCAGCAGTTTGCAAATAAATCTTTTAATAGCCATCCTTAAAGTATTACTCCTCTAATTTACAATTAATCTGACATTGTGGGTTTTTCTTTTCCCCTCTTAGATATCCATAATTTTGTTCCTTACATCTTGCATGTGTCCTTGGCCTAAAATGCAAAGGAGGGAACCTCCTAACAATAAATCTGAGGTGAGCGCATCAACAATTTGTCCACTAACCTTCCATGCATGCCAGCACAAAAGCAAACGTGTCCCTTGGTATTTCCAACACACTAACACAGTGAGTTCACAGACAATCTGGTTTTTCAATGTTGTACACAAACAGAAGCTCAAGCAATCACAGAATTACAGAATATTTAAGGTAGGCAAATACCTCCAAGATCATCCACTCCAACCTGTGACCCATCATCACCTTGTCAACTAGACCAGAGCACTAAATGACACATTCAGTCATTCCTTGAGCACCTCCAGGGATGGTGACTCCACCACCTCCATGGACAGCACATTCCAAAGCTTGACAACAGCAAAAGGAGTTTGGAACAGAAAGTTTTCTTAGCCTCAAGGTTTTGCCTCTTCTATTTCTAGGCTGAAGTTACAAAACCTCTTTGGTTGTGTCACTCTTGGCTATGTTGCTGCTCACACTAATGCAGCACCTAAATATCCTTCACCTTCCTTATAGAGAAATTATGGAGCTCTCTTGTGTGGGGATTGGCCTGGCTGCTCTCAGCAAGGCTCTAGCATGGCTGGGCTAGTCAGGGGATGTGTTAGGACTTGTTGCCTGAAGGCCTTAGGAGGAGTAGGCGTGGAGCTGGGAACCGTGAACAGAAAGCGCCTGCGTGCTGGCTCACCAGTCCCGAGTTAGGAAGTTGCTGGGATGATGCTGGGGGAGAAAATAGTAGCAAATTGTTGTGCCTTAGGTTAACCAATTGGTGTACACCTAATGTATAGAATAAGCCAATCGGCAGAGAACATGCTAAGCCAAGAAAACTATAAGTATCTGTGAAAAACAACAATAAATGGACATCTTGCTTGCATCAAGCTGCATCCCATCTCTCCATCGCGACGCTCTCGCCGCAACAATAAGCTCTCATCTTCACCATTCCTGGTTATAGCCACAACGTGGGAATTGTAGAGAGCAAGAAGGTCTCCCCTGAGCCTCCTTTTCTCCAGGCTGAGTCCCTCCAGCTCACTCAGCCTCTCCTCCCATGACTGACTCTCCAGCCCCTTCCCCAGCCTCTCCTTGGTGACTCCTGAGCAACATTTACACATCAGGTTTCTTTCAGAGAGAACAAATGAGCATTCAAAACACACCTGGAACCCTACACTGTTCTCTGCCTCCCACTGATTGTAAAGCAATTTGGAAATGGGGATTAGTTAGCTCCAGAAAGGCATTAGATGGATCAGCTGAAATGGTAGCTGCTTTTTATATATATAGTCCACCGGGTTTTCACGGCTAAACCTGGATTGCAAGTTTATTTTTCTGCATTTGAAGATGTATGTCTATAAAATAGGATGGATTACATAGCAATAACTTGGAAGTCAACAGGAAATCAAATCCATATATATCATACACATATCAAATACAAAAACATGCTAATTCTGCAAAGCCACCTCCTGGCTTACACCTCTCCTATTCTCTGTCCTCACATCATCAGTAGGGATCTCTAACAAGTTTCCAAGGTGGTTTCAAGATGATTTTCCTTCTGTCCTGGCCCATTTTGCTCCACAAACAGCCACACTCTTCAAGCAACTACAGAACACAGGTGATGTTCTGTCATGATTCACAAGGTGGGAATTACCCAAAGCAATGGATGGTCCTTGCCACAGCACCTAATTCTACCACTAGCTTCCATGCATAGAAACCCAACTCCTGAGACTAAGCTTCTTCCACCTTCCCCTGATGAAAACTCCAGGGTTATTTGGATACTATAGGGAAAATATATGTATATTAACAAAGTTTGTGTATCTTTCTAGCCAGAACTGAGCTCCTGGGAACACAAATCCTCTGATGATGTGCATCAATTATGGAGTTTGGTACCTGCAAAGAGAATCATTTGCACTTAAAAGGAGTCA